CTTCCTCGTGGCAATGGTTTAACCATACTTCATCATGGCAATGATTTGATCATACTTCATCATGGCAATGATCTGATCATACTTCATCATGGCAATGATTTGATCATACTCCATCATGGCAATGATCTGATCATACTCCATCATGGCAATGATCTGATCATACTTCATCATGGCAATGATTTTATCATACTTCATCATGGCAATGATTTGATCATACTTCATCGTGGCAATGATTTAATCATACTTCATCGTGGCAATGATTTAATCATACTTCATCGTGGCAATGATTTGCTCACACTTCATCGTGGCAATGATTTGATCATACTTCATCGTGGCAATGATTTGATCATACTTCATCATGGCAATGATTTGATCATACTTCATCGTGGCAATGATTTAATCATACTTCATCGTGGCAATGATTTGCTCACACTTCATCGTGGCAATGATTTGATCATACTTCATCATGGCAATGATTTGATCATACTTCATCGTGGCAATGATTTAATCATACTTCATCGTGGCAATGATTTGATCATACTTCATCATGGCATTGCCGAGACAGCGTACACTTAAAACAGCTTTTTAAAGCATAATTTACATGTACATTTATTTTAACTCAAACAAATATGGGTACTTTATTTAGGGTGTTTTCTACGAGCTCCGTGTCGGGCCCATATGTGCTGAATATATAAACATAATAGAAAAAGAACGGATATGATAAAACGTAACAAGGTCAAATGCACCAGCATATAACTTAAATACAAAATAGTAAATTTTTAGAGATCACCCAAAAGGTCTTCGATAAATGAATGATAAAGCAACCTTGGAGAATTGTAAGAAACTATACAATATTTCGAATAGGTCTCATTTCTAATGAAATCGCAATTTACGCATTTTCACAAAAAATCGTTAGTGTAAAGCAGTCGTAAGTTACGACGTCACAATACTTAGATCTTTTATGACGTCATAACTTTCGACTATTTTTACCATTACGATTTTTTATTAATAGGACAGCAGGCCCCTAAGGCAAGGAAAAATGTATGTTTAGGGTTACACTGGAAGTATAAATGGGATAGGTAGCTATGCATTTATCCGGTCGTTCACTGTCGATTTATTCAACTTCCCTATAACCGCTTTATTCTTAGACGTATGATTAAGGTGGCTCGGGTGTCTTCCTCCATCTTGGATTTTGAAGTAGCAGATAACAATTGGTCTAGATCTTTAATGAAATGTGCAAATTTTGAGATTAGTATGTAATTTATGTGTAAAACTTTTAATGTTAATATAGAAAAGTATGTGTTTTATCATATCTATGGCTGTATTTTCTAAAAAACACAAAAATTTTTTGTTTGATTAATTTTTTTTTCAACTTTGCTAAATAAGGGGAGATAACTCAGATAGTAGGGGAGATAACTCAGATAAAGTAATTTTATAATAGAAAGTGTTGTGAGTTTACCTATTTTAATATGTAGCAAGAAAACAAGTCCGGTGACCCCATTTTTTCTTTTTCTTATCTTAAAGCATGTTATAAGAGCTACCTTCCCACATTTTATCTTAAAATTCTATGGAGCAGTTTTCTTTTTATCACACAAAATTGGATTTTCCATACATAATCTATACAAAATCTGACAATTTTGCACAACCTGAAGCGTGAAAAAAAGTCCGGTGACCCATACTTTTTATAGTATTTTTGAAAAAAGCATGATAAAAACTTCATTTTGACAAATTATTAAAAAATTCTATGGATTTTAATTTAGACCCCCCCAGCCACCTTAACCATTTGAAGTTTTGTTAGAAATGAAAACCCTACGAGATTTATATAAATAGTCATCAAACCAAGAAAGGATATACTAGTAGGAAGAGGAGTGTTGAGTACCAATTGGAAGAGCTGTCTCCAGATATTTCAAGCAGGCCCGAGCGGATCCAAATATTTTCGAAAAACGTGGATGTGGTTCCGATCAAGAAACTTATATAAAGAAAGAGTGTGCCATGCTATTATTATCCGCTCATTGTTTTGGCCAAATCTTAGAACAAAAGGGTAGCCCAACCCCCAAACAATCATGATGTATCACCCGCTATATCGTGCGTTTATAAAAATGGAACCTTTCCTTGCAAAAGACCGACATGCTAGAAGGAAACGTTTTATTATTTAATAGTTTACGGTCATAGAAGACATTTTTATCTCATATCCCTCTGAGCGAAAAAAAAACCCCGCCGTTTCAAACAAACTAAAAACCGGCAGCTAAGTTGAAAACAAATTGTGAACTGAAATTAATCTAAACATATTTAAGTACGGTTGATGACAAATAAAAATAAAACTTTGCTTAGACGATGGCACATATATACATGTAGTAATTTTGAAAGTGCATTTTTTTAGGAATGGTGACAGTATATAGACTGGTGATATAATAGAGCTGGAGGTGCTTCAGGGTTTTAAAAGTGTATGGCTAATGTTTCCTGCACCAGACCTAATTGTTGAAATTATTTTCTAAGATTGTAGCGTTTATGTTAATGTACGCGTCTCTGGTGTCTGGAACTTGGTGCCCAGAAACTAAACGCTTTTGACATGACACATAGGTGTCTATGCGACAATTTGTAGCTTATCAACTGAGAAATGGTTGTAGCTAGTTGAAAGGTACATTTACACAAATGTATCTAAGGGCAGAATTTATTTGTCCATGAAGAACACGTCCGTCAAAAATAACCGTGTTCGTTTTTTTTCGACTATTTCCGTTATTGATTTCCCGACTTTTACTGCATCATCATAATGATACAACCACTGAACATATAGTTCATTGGACCGAGTATAATACTGATGCTATTACTGAACATAATGAATAATCCACCGAATATAAAGAAACCGGGACCACTGAAGGTAATACATAATGTACTGCAAATAATATTGAATCTACTGAACATAATGTCGAAAGTACTGAACATACTAAAAATTGCACTGAATATAACGTCAGAAGTACCGAACATATTTTAAATACCACTGCATATAATAATGAAACTACTGAACATAATAACCAAAGCACCGAATATAATGTAAAAACTACTGAACATAATGTCAAAACTACTGAACATAATATGAAAACTACTAAACATAAGATAAATACTACTGAACATAATGCATAAAGCACCCAACATATTAAACAAACAACATCAGAAGACAGTCATGGCGTTCCATACAGGTGTCTGGTAGATCAGAAAAGCCCACACACGTTACAATCCATAACTTTCAAGCTGCTGACTAAACATGAAGTCATTCTGCTCAGTACCATAGAAAAGTGTGTGTGACGGAAATATTTGTTGAACAAACGGATGAACTGATGAACAAACAGTGTGAATACCTAGAGTGAGTATAAAACTACTTCATTCGTATTCAGGACAAATTAAGGAATAATTCAATTAGGTAAATTCTCAAAAGAAAAGCGCAAAGTATATTGACCATAACTGGTAAACGTATTGTATAATTCTGACTTTGGGCACAACGATCATTGCCCATAAACAAAAGCTATCATTATATGTTTACAGTAAATTTAATTTAAACAAATCATAATGTAACATATACCAATTTTTTTTGTCTTTTGTTCGTCCCCTTTTTGGATTGAAATAACGACCTCCTACAGTCAATGTAAGCATGTAACAAAAGAGGTCAATGCGGGTTTAATTTTGAAATTCCAGTCAATATATTATTGTTGTCTGTAATTTGCATTATGTCTCTTTAATTTAAAACATTTTAATAAATCGCATCTTGCATTCGTCTTAGTTCACCGTCAACTATGTTAATTGTAAGGACAGCTTATTCAATTGTATTCCTTTGCTCGGATGTGGTCATATTCTAAATATGTATTGTTGGTTATTAACATTTGTTTGAAATTCTCTCTCATTTTCATTATCAATGTCTCTAAAGTGATGGTCGATGCCAGTTTATTTTAAAAAAAATTGGTACAGCTGATAAAACCAAAAAGGGATCAAAATTAAAGATTTCTGAAATTTCATAACAGTAATTTTAATAAACCAATATCCGAATTTTCATACCAAGGCCGAAGTACTGGTTACGGGGCTGGTGATACTATTGAGGACTTAGAAGCCGCCAGCATTTTTTAAACTCAATTGTATGAATAAAATTAACATCGTAATGCAATTCGTTCGGAACGATAATTTTCATTGGACGTTGACAAATATTTTGAAGGGTTAGATTCCACGTTCTACCAGTCCGTAACTAAGGAAAGCCACCATTTTGAATTCCGAATTTTTGTGGTATGTGATTTCTCAAAAAATAAACAAAATAGTCACATTTTGTGCCTCAAAATCTTCTTTTTGTCAATATTTAAACCATTCAGAAGCGTAAGAAAAGTATAAATACGTCAAGTGTTTATGTTTGACATCGGGAGTATATGACGTCCAATTGTGTATATGCCAAAGACGAGGTAAGAGTTTCGCAAACTTTTTTAATTTATGGCATTCTTAAGCCAAAATATTTACTAAAATGTAATTTATCTTAATATGGAGATACCTGTGTTGTATTCTAAGCTTGATCTTCGTAAAACGTAGATTTTACTGTCGCGAATTGAGTTTTCCTATCGACGCACAGTTATCTCATAAGTACCAATTTTACTGCACAAGTGCGTATTTCGACAAATAATGTCTATTTAGTGATTCACCAGGCCACAATATTTGAAAATCCAAGCCTTTATACAAACTTTGGAGAACGGATAAACCAAATAGGACTAAAGGATAAACTAGCCACGGACAAGAAATCAGAGTTGTGCATGAAGGATATACATTTCTTAAATTAAACATGTTAAAATGATTTCCAAAATTTTATTTTAAACAAAACGATATCAGTATGTGCATGCCAGTACCGAAGTACTAGTTACTAGTCTAGTGACACCCTGGGGGACTAACAGACAACACGTAGTGGTATAGGTAACATAAACGATCAAAATTTTACTGCACCACGTGCACTTTTCGGTGATGCTCGAGTATTAAATCCAACTATATTATATAAAAGTGTAGAATATTTATTTCTTCATACTAGTAATAAAAAAGAATATATTGTATAAGGCAAATATAAAAAAAAAACACACACACACATTAATTTGCCGTTTCAGAATCGAAAGACTTGTGGGTAATTTTATTTTTTGCACGCGGAAATGAACATAACGCTGTACGCCATTGGGTGAATATCACTTATTTTGCACATTGTTTACCAATCAAGACTTTGTTGTGTTCGCTTTTAAGAATATTAACTACACAAGTTTAGATTCTGAAATGGGAAATTGCATTGTAATATAAACTCCATAAATGTTTAAAAAAAAGTGCAATTACTTCTCACAGTTTGTAAATACAAAATGTATAAATAAAAAAAAAACATATCACAGTATTTTAGCATAAAATTAAAAACAACAGTCAAATTAAAATCAGTATAATTTTAACTGCTTCTGTATAACAATCTCCCACAGATGGTACATTGACAGTTCTGTAATGAAAACATATATGTTTATGTATCCTTGTCATTGTGCTTAGTTTCTTTTATTACCTATTCTGATATCGGACTCGGACTTCTTTTAAACTGAGTTTTACTGTGCGTATTGCTGTGTGTTTGTTTATTCTGCATTAGCTAGAGGTATAGAGGGAAGGTTGAGATCTCACAAAATATGTTTAACCCCGCCGCATTTTTGCGCCTGTCCCAAGTCAGGAGCCTCTGGCCTTTGTTTGTCTTGTATGTTTTTGTTAATTTTAGTTCATTTATATGTTTTGGAGTTTGGTATGACGTCCATTTTCATTGAACTAGTACACATTTTTGTTTAGGGGCCAACTGAAGCCCGCCTCCGGGTGTGCGATTTTCTCGCTGTGTTGAAGACCCATTGGTGGCCTTCTGCTGTTTTCTGCTTTTTGGTCGGGTTGTTGTCTCGTTGTAACATTCCCCATTTCCATTCTCAATTTTACAATCATTTTAATATAAGATATACATGTATCTTTTATATAGTTTTTTCTTTAATATTAAGCTTCTGTGAATCTTATGGCTGTTTAAGTGAAGTAATACAGGCACTGCATTTTTGTGGGTTATTTTCAATGCAATATGGGTCTATTTTTTTTTTCAATTTTATAAACTGAGATATATCATGACTATTTTGTGTGTATATCTTGACAATGGTGTCTCATTTTACACTATATGAACTAACAAGAGTTAAGAAAAGTTCGTTCTAATACTCATCTATATTCAGATCTATTTAGCAGTTCAGTTATTCCATTTAAAAATCCGGGATTTTTTTGTTAATTTAAAAGAACACAATAACATTTATCGAAATTATTAAGAAACTAAGGTTTCAACTCCCTCAGGCAAAGTTGACTTTAGATGAATTTGGCTATTTATTTTAGGTATTTTTTTGTCATATAGCTCTTCAACGGTTTCGGTACTTGTACATCCTCGGATTTCAAATGTTTGGCTGTGAGCGTTCCTGATGAAGGTGAATCCAGAAAAGCGCTTCGGACGCATGAAATTATTAAACGTGTTGTTTTCAATTTTTTATTATATATATTTATAACGGATTACAAATGTGTCGAGGTTAATGGTTGGATAACTGCACAGACATGTCAATATAATTTCCTGACACAGACAGGGTATCAAAGATGTTATTTACCCCAATAAGAACCTCAATAATACCAATCATTATTTTATATATGACGTTATTGAAATAACTTGGCTGCGTTCAATATCTTAGCAGCTAATATAGCCGCTATATCTTAGATATCTATCTATGTTGAACGATATGCTACGGAGCTAGCCTATCAAAATTACGTCATAATTAATAACACTTCCGACGCCATTTTGGATCTCTAGATAGCATGAATTTTTTGGGCTATCTAAATCTATTTAGCGGCTAGGCTAGCTATACGTTCGGTAATCAAAATTTACGTAGCACTACGTAGCAGCTACGATATTGAACGCACCCCAGTTAAAGCATGCGAGACACTTACAAAATATATAACCCGTGCATTAGTTTTTATCTTTTCTTTAATCTGACAGCTAGACCGAATATGTCTTCATGCAGTCTGTTCTCATCCTGCAATTAAATAAAATGAATATTGATTTATTGATTAATAATTGGTGTTAAATGCCACTTTTAACTCTCATAGCTGTCAGTTTTTATTTGTGGGGAAGCCGCAATAACCGTAGAGAACCACCAACCTCGACAGAAAAACTTGCAACTCTAGTCAATTCAGATTTGAGTCCACCGCATATAGGTGCGATCGACATTCACGAATATAAAAAAACAAAACATTTGTTGTATATCTGTTCCATACAGAGTAAGACAGTATAGCAGCCGATATCAGAAAAAAAAGTCTTGATAACCTCATCAGCTTGAGATTACAATAAGTGGAAGACCATTTTCGAGGGGGGGGGGGGGGGGGGGGAGGGGGGGATTTTGAAAATGAGTACTGTTGAAACTGGAAATAAATGACTTTTCAGAAGACAGGAGGAAAATGAATATTCTGCTACACGAAATGCAGAAAACAAATGTGTACTAAAGTAAAAATGAATTTTCGCGCGGCTCGGCTTTGAAATAGGCATGCGTAGCAACAGATGATATCAAATAATCATTCAGGCAAAATATCCTCCTGCCCCGCCCCCTCCCAGAATATCAAATGGTCGTCCCCCAAGTATTATTAAGCATGCACTCTATAATTAGTTAAGTTAATTGTACATTTTTTTTTTATCAGTTGTACCTTTATGACTGAGTAATATCTGTCATTTTCTTTTACATATTTTCATTGTGTGTTTTTTTCATACCTATTGTATTTGGTATTTGAGAGTTTTTTTTCTTATCGAATCAAAGGACATTCAGAAACAAAATGGCCATGAAAATATGAGTTTTGGTATTGTGCGGTCGACTGATTACACATAAGCTCTTCGTGTTATTCCCGAAAGATGTTTTAGTGAAATGGAATCGAAGGGATGTGGCATATCAATTCATGAAATATAGTCTCTGCATATACAAGCCAACCCAACAGAAAATGAAATATCTCTTTGATTTCTACGGCCTCTCTTTTATAGTTGTTCCTCATCTAGGAGTCATTTTTATAAGCAATAGCATTTAAGTGGTTTTTTTTAAATTAATAATTTTATACAACCTCAATAACTGTCTTTAATTCTTTTATTCATCCATTTACTTTTTAAAGAAAGTTGTTTAAGATACATAAGACAGACAAGAATATTTGCGCAATGAAAACACAAGACAGACAACACAATTAATACAATATTAGTTCTTACCTTCATTCTATCCATATATTGATCGACCTGAGGATCAGGTAACCTGCCTATTGTTTGAATCACATATCGTAACATCTGTTTAACGTCAGACGCCATCTGAATGCTGCCACAAATGTAGAAATGTCCATTTTCTTTTACTATCAATCTGAATACATCTGTCGCATTTCTTTGGATCAAATCTTGAACATATGTCTGGAAAATAAGCATAAAAGATATATATGTGTTGACATGAATTATCATTGATATGGTCATAACTATAAAATAACTGTTTACTAAACTTCAAATTTTTCGAAATACTAAGAATTGTCTACCCAAGGAATACATAACCGTAGCTGTATTTGGTAAAATCTTTCGGAATTTTCGGTCCTCAATGCTCTTCAACACCATACTTTATTCAGCCTTTTCAGCTCTTTTAATTCTAGCGTCACTATTTATTCATTTTTAGATGAACGCGCTTCTGGCGTACAAAATGTAAAGCCTGGTATTCATGATGAGTTTATTTATGATGTGGGGTTGTGGATTAAAATTTGGACGACGGCATAAAACTGCATATAGTTATTAGTGTGTTAACTTTTAAGTCATAGGCGACACAAATCATGCATATAATGTGTCCCACGAATTGAACAAATATAAAAAGTCCAGGGAAACATATCTGAAGTCACTACAGTTAATCACGTGATCAATTCAAACTCGTACCTTTTTCATTCCTTGCTCACGAGAATATGCAAAGTAACATCTGGTCAGGATTCCCTCGTTTTCACGTTGTTGCAGTTCATTTTTGTAGATATTGTCTGCTATGGTGTGTCGACAACCAAAATATAGATACGTTTCACCAAAGGAAACCCTCTGTCTACCTAAAAAGAAATGTTCATAATAATCAGGAGATATTTTCATTTTATTGTAATTTATAAATGGCTTTTATATATTTCTAGTTTTCGGACATCTTTTTAAACGCACCTTATCACCAGGACAAAGTTATGGTATGATATAATTTTCCCCTATCCGGACACTTTTTTTCCGAACATACCAATCTTTTTTTACTCTTAGAAAGGAAAGCAGAAAATTATACTTTGAATATCACTGGATTAGCCTGACCGGAGACACAAAGAGAGAAGAGACATGAAATCAAAAACGTCGTTTTCACAGGTATTTCAAAGGTAAAATATTCGTATCATAACTGAAATTTCTTAAGTTAAAAGAACAGCGGATGTAATCTAAAAATTTTAATATCTAAGAGAAATTGTAATAGCATTTTAAAAAGAATGTACTAAATCATTATATATGTTTACTCTTTGGTTCGTTTTAAAGTTGTTACAAATTATCATTGCTGTTTCGGTTTTTCTTAATCATATATCTAAAGTATCAGGCTTTAATTATTTAGAAAAGATTAAAGATAGTTTTAATTCAGATTTACTGTTTATAATCTTTCAGCATAAGTATAATCCTTCTTCGTCAAGGCTACTGTTTGTTTAAACCTCAGTTTTGCGTAATCGTCGGTTTATATCTTCGTGACTTTCCAATTACTTAATCATGATATATCAAAATTTAGTTTATTCAAAAGCATACTGTCAACATTCAAAACAACAATAATCAAAGGTAACATTTGGAAAGGATTAATAGTAAATATATTTTTTAACAGAACAATTAGTTAAGAATACATACTTCGAGATGCGAGTTCTATGCTAATTTTACGTTGCATCCAGAAACTTCTAAATGGTGCTATACCTGTACCAGGACCAACCATTATAATCGGAGCTTTCTGGTCACTTGGCAGATGAAACAGTGGTGCCCTGCATTAAATAAGAACACTATCAACGGTTTCAAAACTTATATGATCATATAATAAATGCAAATAATTTTACCAACTATTTTGGTGTGGTACGTATAGCTCCATCTTTTGTTGACTATTGTTTTCCTTGTGACCATGGTGATGTCTTTGATTGCCTCCTTTGTATCTTTTCGCTCTTTTTATATGCGTTTTATATACCTTACATCATTTTGTACATAGATCATTACATTTTATAAAATTCAGGTGGCAATTCCATTTTTCAAAGTTGATCTTGTACGATTTCGTCCGTTCTAAATTTAGACCCTATTTATTTTTGTATTTTTATCTGTGTTCAACGTATTACACTTATATAATTATTGCAAACCTTTTGGTTTTGAGTTTATCTGATGATGGTTAATACTTTTTTTATCACTAAAAAACTACCACACGTGATATTCATTCAAATAAGCCTCTTTTTTCTCCACTATGTTATATCATTTTGATTACGTCGATTATATTCAATATACATGTACTTACGATCTTACGGAGCAGTATATGTCCTGTCCGACAGGTAGAGTGTTCAACCAATTACTGCAAACACCTTTATGCTTTCTTCCATCTGTCAAGTAACACAAATTGAACTAATGATATACCATATAATCTTCTGTCGAACAAATGATTTTGAAAAAGTAATGACTGATTATAAGGAACAGGTAAAATCAGGGCCATAATTTGGTCCAGGTAATTGGAAAAAAGTTGAATTCCTAATTATTTTGATAAATTAGACAGATGATATGATTTGGAAACTGTTGTTGAGAAATTTCAGTTTTGATTTCATTGTGGTGTCATAAACCTGTTCAAATTGATATATTTGCTTCAATTTCAAACATAACTAATGTCTGCGATAGAGTCGATTTTAGTTTACTTATGTTGATAGCAGCCAGAAAACGCTACATTAAAAAAAAATTTCTAACAAAGACACCTGTTTTAATCTTTTACCTGGCGTTTGATATTCTACAACGGCAACTGTCACATGAACTTCGCCTGGTGTTGCGTCCAACGCCGAACTTATACTGTAATAACGAGGTAGAAGGAGTGGTAGCTGTGATATAAGGAAAGCTGGTGTCACTTGAAGCGATGGATACTCTCTCAGAACGTCCAAGATATTTGGCATTCCATGACTTTTCCAGTCTTCATAGTAGCTTGTATTCTACAATTATGAAAAAGATGACATGAACTTTTGTTAAATAAATATGAACATGTCTTTTTATACCCCATATATCTACTGTTGAGCAGTGAGCCAGGACCCCAAGCTATACTGACACCTACTTGATGGGCTTTAGAATTATTAAGTAAGTTATTATTAATTCCTATCAGAAGTATAACCAGAAAATAACTCAATATACGTTACCAAAGTTATTCATAATAACTTTCACTTTGAAGGTTTTAAGTTATTTATTTCTGATGTAATGGTATATTATCTTATACTGTTGTAAGATGATATAACCAAATGAAAAAAAAAAAAAATATGATTAAATAAGAAGGTATGTTAGGGCCAGTTTTTGGCCCCTTGAAACAATTTTAAATTTGCCACGTGACATGCTTCAGATGTAGTTAGGACATTAGACTTCCAGTCATTCTTATATATACATGTATATTTGATTTTTGTCTTACATAATTATTTCTGGCCTTCAAACTCCTTGTATAAAGTGCAAAACTGCAAAAACTGACAATTTTGCTTCGTTTTAAGATCTTGTAACTAAATTTTAGATATAAGGCAAGGATTCACTCAAAAAATACTTTGCTACAAAGATGCCAAAATGTATTAAAAAAGATGGTAATGGTAGTAAACTATCTGTTGTTGCATTGGCTTATATCTTCTTTTTTTAAAATTACGTTTAAAATGGTCGTTTCGGTCTAATACAAATCAACCACATGTCAATGATGTCATTGTGACATTACATGCGACGTTTCGTCACAAAATCGATTGGTTATATACACCTGTTCATTCATCAATATAGTTATAATATTGAACGGCTTCAATACTTATTTTGCTATTTCAGCAACACACAAATATCTCATATCATCCCCTCCATCAAGTTGAAATCCTTTCACTACTTGATGCTATTTCGTTAATTGATGCAATAGTTTACGTGTATACAGACTTCGCCATTGTTTTGAAGAAGCAATTGGTATATACGTTAATCGATCAGGGGAACTCGTTCATTCTTACCGCTCAAACGGTTAAAAGGAAAAGGCCTTTCTTTCTGTCCTTAGTCAATTGATGAACTTTGCGATCTATTTAAACTGTGTAAACAATCTCTAACCTCTGCAATTCTTTTTATTCTCTGCTTGTCCTCCTGTCTTGCTGCTAGACCCGATAGAATGCTTAGAAATTCCTGGGTTGGAGGTGTTGTTATGTCGAGATATCTGCTCAGCAAGTCCTTTAATGAACATGGTGGAAAGCGACCATAATCTGCCCAGTAGTTTTGACTTCCTACAACATATTGTTCAAATATATAAATTATGTCAATAACAATTGAAAGCTTGATTCTTTTCATCAAATTGCCGATCATACAATGTACATAATAGGTATATGAAAATAACATTGGATAATTTTAGTTCTTTCGAGGCGCTTTTCTGGATTTAGCTTCATTCAGGACGCTCAAACCAAATGTATACATATTAGAATATATTATGAGTGATATAACCAAAATGGGACATAAAACGTGGCAGGTCGGACACGTTAAATACATTGCGCCTAAGTATATCATTATTGTGTGTCCCGCAGTTTGTCGAAAAATACGAAGTTTACCGAAATTGTGTCGTAAATTTTATTTTTACGTTTAGGAATTCAAATCTGTTGCTTACTCCTCCAAAAACTCACCCGTTTGGTTGACCTTTACATCTTCAGAGGTATTTTGTTGTAATTGTATCAAATCGCTTGCTGTGACGTCCTTCAGATGTTTAATAATGCCATTAACAAGATCTGGATGATTGTTTGAGAACAACAGCACGTGATCCCCTGGACTGTATCTCATAGCATCGTTGTCATCTCTAATGTCTATCCTAGCTAGAATTGTCTGCCGACTTTACATAAAAGAAACAGACAAACCATTATTTGAAATATATTTCGTATCGTATCCAGTATTAGCCAGAATGTTTGATATACTTGACAAAGAATATTTCTTTAATCATAATTCCAACTTTGATGCAGGTGTTTTATCTTTGATTTTTCAAGTTATTAAAAGTTTAATTTTTAAAAGAAAATATTTTAGTCGACAAATTCATTTCGTGATAATGAGCTAGGTGTAAATGACTCGAACTGTATTTGCTGGCTATGAATTAAAGCTTATACATGTAGTAAGTACAATGAATAAAAAAAACGACAACAATTTCTACTCGATTTTACCTATAATGTCTGTCTCCTAGATTAACTCTATCTTTCAGTCTACATTTGGAAACGTTTTTTCCAAACACCTTGGACAGCTCTTCAAAAACACAAAAATAAAAACATTAAGAGTCATGAACTGTAAAAATATCTACGAAGGGTTTTTTCTATGTACAATATTGTAGCATATGAACATTTGATGCTTAAAATAATTACAAGAAATATGCTTTAATGAGACTTGTATAATTCTCTACTGCCTATTCGAAGATCCATATGTAAAGGGGAAATTACCAGGGTAGATTTCTTCTTTGACTGATTACTCTAATGTACTTTTCACAGTTATGCCCGCCATGCTGATTGATCTGTAGTACTAAATCATTTTTTAAGGCATACAACATGTAATGATTGTTATCTTGTTTATTATTGATATTCGAGATAAAGGTATCGAAGTTGTGGTTATTAAACTGACAATATCCCAACTCTATATATATATTTATATATATAAAGCATCGTAAATTAACATGAAACCCGGACATATACAAGTGAAACTTAGTTAAACTTAGTCATATAAATCAAAAAGTTCATACATTAAATACTCATATATATTCCCTGACACAACCCCACTTTCGATGAGTTTCAAAGTAGTCTGTTTATAGTTTTTTATAAAGTGTTTGTAGACTTTTGTTTGTCTGTTCGTCGTTTTTCTTTCTTTTTTGTCATGATTTTGTCGGTCTGTCTTCGACTAATGAGTATTGTATCTTCCTTTGGTATCTTACAAAATTTTATATTCCTGATATCTATGATGAGTTTATATTTATCGCCAACGTGTACTAGGTCATGAAAACGACATTGTACGCGTTCATATCTGTTCTAATTGAGTGATTCTGCTTGAGATATAATTAATAAAAAAACATATTCACACCTTGTGATAATGATATACGCTTTTTCCTTGGAATATCTATCACTCGGAATTTGTCAGGGCGCCATGTCATGTCTGAATTTGCCAAAACATCGGCGGCATCATTCAAGCCCTGTTTGTTTCCAACTTTGAAGTAATTGCACGACACCTGAAAGAATACGTAAATTTTGTAAATATTTTACATTTCATCTTTGATGATCTAGCACATGTAATTATACCTTTTGCTGTAATTGATAATGATTGAATTTTTTTTTTTCAAATAAATTTCAAGGTATATTCATAATACATCAATTTACATATCTACATATATTACTGAATGCATTGTGTAACAGCACTTTATAAATGATTACCATTTGAACAAGTGACGATTGAATATGAATTTAAGAAGAAATCACTTTAAGATAAGTATTCAATTCGAACATAGCAATAGACAATTTATTAATTATGTAATAACATATGGTTAATAGTTTATGAATTGCAACTTAATTTTGTATGTCATTTAAGCAACAAAGATTCAATATGACCGAAATGCATATATTCTACTTTGCTTTATGAATTCCGTCATATAACAATCATGATTCCAAGATCCGACATACAACCAAAATTTAGAAATTTTAAACTTTAAAAGAATTCGAGTTTATTTCGTTTACAACTCAGCATCTCTTTGTTTACCAGTTTGTTTTTTTTTTTTGTTTTTTTTTCACATATCCATTGCATTGGATGCAAACCTATGCACTGAAATGTTCTATTTTCAGAACGCAATGAGAAATTATTCAGATTTGTAACAATGTAGTGACGATACCAAAGCGATGAAAGAATTGCAAATTGCAAACACACACTCTAGTTGCACATTCCAAAATGTTTTCATTCTTATGACTGGTTTCACTGTATGAGTTGATTTCAACCGAGAAATTAAAACTTACTCTAAAGATTAATCCAGGAAAGCTATTAGGACAATCAAAATTTATAAAGTTGTAGTTTCACTAAGGAAAACACATTGTACACTTTTTTCTCTCGACTGTATGGTCAGTTTTCCCCGTTTCGCATTTTTATGTTATTTACTAATTAGGAAGATAATTGGATTGGATGATGTTTTGTACTTGCTTGTCCAGTTTAAGTCTTGTATAAAAAATGCGTTTTTCAGTCATTGAGTTATTTCATTTCTAAATGGTCAAGAAAATTTCATTTTTCATTACACCTACCTGATAGACATTCTTTGCCCAGTCTCTAAAAGAAAGTTCCTGACCAGATAGTTCATCACCTTCTCCAATAACATGAATTCTTGAGGCTCCCAAACCTTCCATCGTTTTGTCTATGAAATGTCCGAATTCACAAAATTTTGGATATGCTCGGGAACCAAGACCGAACACGGAAAATTTCAGATGTCCTAACCCAGCATTGTTTCCGTTCATAGAACTACTATTTTGATACATGCTGTTTCGACTAGCCACAGCAGGATGCATGCCACTGAAAATAAAGTGCTTATTTACTACAAGTTTTGATTTTTTAATGATTTGCATAACGTCCAGTTGGATTCATTTTAATAATAATCAAGGCGAGAACTAATAATCAATTAATTGATAAAGGAGGAATTCTAATATTCTGATGTGTCGATCGGAATAAACGGCGGAAAGTGTACTACTACACAAAATCTATCGATCGGATTTGACGTCCCTATTTCCATAGGATGTTGCTGCGTATTTATATATCCCAAACAGCTAAACGGACAGTCTGTTTCTTTTTTTCTGAATTTTTCCTAGTATCTGTCCATGGTTCAAAAATGCTGAGAGCGAAAATTGATTACTTTTAATTGATCTGTTTTTAAAACATATATAATGCTTTTCTTAAACGGAAAATCATGATAACTTTTTATAAATCTTCTGAAGACAGTAGTATATAAATAGCTTGTGGTAAGGTTCATTGTATTTGACAAAGTCCTGAAATGTGTTTTGTATGGAACATCCGGGTCTCTTTAAGTAATACTCATCTTGTCAATTATGTCAGAATTTGTGAAGTACAACTTACTTTCTTTGTGTTGACCTGTCTTTCGCTGTTGGGAGAGCTTTAGCAAAGGTCTGAAAAAATATATAAAAGAAGTGAATAATTTTTATAGTGATACACGAGTTTTTAAAGTCAAAGGAGAGATACAATTTCTGTTTTGCATAAATTTTGAAATTATCAGTCATTTTTGCTGCAATCATTATGTTTATCATTACTTACAAAACCAATCAAGAAACACTTTATATACTGATGTAATTCCTATAAAATGTAATGAATTTTGCATAAGAGTATCGTTCCTGTTTTTGATACCGTATTTCTGTTTTCTTAATTTTTCTATGTTAGCGTGCAATAATTCGACAAGTGAAAAGTGATTTGTTAAAGTCCGATCAAAACGTACGGAAATCAAAAACAATTTCATATTTTTAAAAAAAGATGTTTTAAACTTTTGTATAGTTATATTTACCTTTCCATTTTCTGGAGGATCCCCATTTCCGAATGTACTTGCAACAAACAATACCAACTGCTCGGATCTCAACTCCTCCAGTACATTATAACTTTCCACTTTCAACATCTAAAAAATAATATTCATGGAAAAAAGTGGTCGAATACCGGTACTTCTTTTAAAAAATACATACACAGGTTTTAGTGTTTTGTGTAATCTTTTGAACTTTTCAGTATTTAAGAAATGTTATTACCCTTTTGGGGTATTATTTACTCTCTAATTTTTCGGGAAACCTAACCTTAAAAATTGAACTCTCAGACATTAAAGCTGTGAAAAGGGGTCAAGGGTTTTATTCCTTTGGAGTCTGTTTCTTCTATTCATACACCAAAACACATTTACTTCAATTAAAAGTTTGAAATGGTATAATAATGTGAAATAATATAAATTGATAACTAGACATTTATGCATTAGTTAAACTGACATTAAGCTGTTAATCACTTATTTGGGTCACAACTAGTTCTTACTTATTTTTTTTTTACTATTTTGATGTCCTTCTTGGTCATATAGCTCTACTACTGTTTCGGGTTTTATACATCCTTGGTTTATAAATATTTGGCTTTGAGCGTTCCTGATGAAGGAAAATCCAGAAAAACGCTTCTGACGCATGAAATTTATACGTGTTATTTTCATTTTTTACTTATATACTAATACCCTGCTATGAGTAGCCTTTAAATAATCATAAGACTCAAAAATAACTTAAATGAAATACACAATAGCAGCTTACCCTAGAATTAAATGTTTGTCTGAATATTTTGTGCAAAGTATTGGCAAATTTCTCTGCTTTACCCGTCTCTGTCGCAAACAAAATGGTACACTTAATCCTTTTGGAAAGTGCTTTCGTCATCAAAGCTGTCCATGCAGTCACAGCCCTAAAAGAACAAATGTTGATAAATGCAACGAGAGGTTACAAGCCAGACATCTCGCTCTTATTATCTATCATATTTTAGTTCAAATGTTTTTACATTCAAAGCTTTTTTTTAAATTTAAAGTTATAGTAATAATGAATTTAACGGTATTGCTGACAACAGTGGATAGACATCTTGCCAAAATGAAATGAGATTGAGGTACAGAGATTTTTGTTTGTCCAATCGAAACAATTTGAAATATGCATTCGATTCAAAAGTAAAATAACAAAAATACCGAACACACAAAACGAAAAGTCCCTAATCAAATGGCAAAATCAAAAGCTCAAACACATCAAACACATCAAACGAATGGATAACAACTGTCATATTCCTGACTTGGTACAGGCATTTTCTTATGTAAAAAATGGTGGATTAAACCTGGTTTTATAGCTAGCTAAACCTCTCACTTGTATGACTTAGCCATACACAATATAAATAAATATTTGATATTCCATATCTCCAAATGATAAATTTCACGTAAAAAAGTATAACAAAGATACCAAACGTTCCTGATGAAGATAAATCCAGAAAAGCGCTCCGGACGCATAAAATTATAACGTGTTGTTTTCATTTATTACAGCACTTGGTCGATACCTCTAACGTTTTTTTTTTCACATGATCTTATCAGTCTATCTTTGAATTATTGAGTTTGATTGTCCCCGTGCAATCTTCGCCCCTTTTTTCACAATACTGTTACCTTGCAATAGCCCTGAACCGTAGTTTTGTTTTACGTTGTTTTGTTTTGTTACCATTCTTCTTCAGACCGTAAGTTTTCCATAATTCATCCTGTAGGACAGTTCAAAATATTAATGCAACGGAATTGAAAATGAAATGACATTTACCTCAAAGTATCCATTAAAATAAGACATTATCCGAATTTGAAGAGTACAAATGAGGGAATAACCTTCAGCTTGAGAATTTTGTTTCGTATGACGTCATATTTAGATGTGAATGCGGCAAGATCAGTAATTAAATTTCGCGACGTTCATTTTATTTATATGTTGCACATTTTACCAAGCTCCAATGCATTATTTCATTTTTGTTCAGGATTAAAATAGTTAAAAGATTCTTTTCAATTTCGATTATCTTGGAACCCATGAATCCCATTCATGTTTATCGCATTGCGCATGAGTAGATCACATTGAAGTTGACACAGTGTTTATATAGGTTACGAAAGTAGGTTTGGTATATCGAAGTGTAAACCAAGGAAAGAAATTTTTTCGAATCAGTTCTATTCAAGTATTTGTCGTTATGCAAATCACATAAGAATTATGTAAAATTGAAAGATAGTTTTTATACGTTAATGAGACAAAAACCGCAAACTGTATTATTATTAGTATATGTATTTATTCATACCTGGTACTCGTAGGACGGCTTTAATTTGAACAAGGTCATTTCTTGGTGAAAAACAGGCGTCAAACTGCCACTGATAGGTGGCACTAACCATACCCAGTCTGCAGGGCACCCTCCACGTTGTTTGTACTCATTGTGCATAAAGGTCATAAATTGTTCTGACGCTGTGTGTTGGTCAACTAGAGTGCAACCGATTGTCTTCAAATATAATAATAAAAAACAATTATAGAAAGAAAAATTTTTTATTTCTTGATAAATGAAATATTAGATTATGAGATGTGGTATGAGTCCATATAACGTGCACATAAGAAATAAAAGGTCACTGTACTTTTTTTTTTTAAAGAAAACCTTTCCATTTCTTGTCCATCCGTAAATAAAAAGACATGAAAGAGACTCACATGAGGAGTCTATAACATATAATGCCGTAAAGCCGTTAACTCGTTATCCTTTACCTATTGTAAACATTTAAACTTAAAATAATTATATGGTTTTTATCAGAGACTGCCCTATGATACTGTTAAACATCATGCTACCACAGACAGAACATTAAACATGGTATGCAAACGATGAAATACACGTTTTGAAAAATGAAATTTAGCATAAAATGAATAAGGAGATACCAATGGACTAAGAAAAGATGGACAAACAATTGCAATCAAAACAAACAACCAAAAACAAAATTGATAAACATAAATTACTTGCTAAAAAAGAACACTCCCGTTTCATTTTAAACATATGTCGTGTAGTTAATGACATGGAAAATTCCTATTATATGTTATCATCAATGATTACCCATTAACAAAACTGTAGAACGGGATTTTGACAAATGAAACATATTTATTGTAACTAATTAGTCAGGTAATATATGAACAAGTCTATGAAAATAACCATTAAACAAAAAGTAAAATAAAAAAATACCTAACTCCAAGAAAAATTCAAAACTGAAAGTCCTTCATTAAATGGCAAAATTAAAAGCTCAAACACCTCAAACGAACGAAAAACAACTGTCATATTCCTGACATGATACAGAGTTCAATAAGCGACATACTGACGTCACTTTTACTATTTGTTACTCCTGGTTCTGTAGTTTGTTTTTCAACACATTTAATTTAATTTTATTCACCTGACGCCTCATGTAAATTTAATGTTCATTATATAAATAGTAAAGTCATTCTTTTGTTGTACGATTGCTATGTGTAAATTATGGTATGAAACACTCTAGAATATCAATTGTATTCCATTCGAAGTTGCATGGGTAATATGTGGTTTGTGATCTTTATAGTTCATTTATAGGTCAGAAAGACGTTATTATTATATACCTGAAAACTATGAAGAACCGCAATATTTGTCTCAACTGCAGCATTATCTTTCCATGCCGCTGGATTGCTTTTAGTGTCCAGTCCAAGTGCTTCTGCTATTTCCTAAAATATTTAAAGGCAATTAACGTATGGTTTCTAAACATTTAGTAATGTGTGCGTGCATTTCTTATTGTGATTGTCGAGGAAAAGTGTGATATTAACTTCAAGGATGTCAAGAAATCTTGCTAACAAATAATGGTATCAGGATTAAATATGCGATATTTTATTTTTGCAAAACCAATCCTGTTTTAATATTCAACATCATACAAACATTGATTGCTCTTTTTAAAGACAGAGGTTGAACCAAATAAAGACAAGCAACACTGGACGAAAAACAGTGCACATAATGCTGTACAGATAACTTACACTACACAAAAGCAGAGACCAACAACTGCTACATAAAAGAACTTGATTTAAATTCTGGTGTCTAAACGGGTATAAGGCATTTCCTGTATCATTTCTGGCACCTTTATTGCTGCTCATCACTTAGTAACTCAATAAAATAAACATTAATCGTGATTTCAGGAATACTTATCATCATTTCATGTGTTACATGTGTTACTTTGGGTAGATTCTAACTATTTTCATTTGTCATACAAATATGTTTACTACCCTTAACGAAGAACCAGTTGTCGAAAGACACTTAAAAAAAACACAAAAAAAGTTTCCTTTTTTCCCTTTTAATAGGTTTTTCAGAATCGGTACATCGTCTACTTAATACTCATAGGTGTCAAATTAAACACTATGTAAAAGAGCATTACAAGGCAAAAAACCTAAAAAGTTGTGCCAAAAAAAAACCTCATCAAAGATACCAGGTTTATAATTTGTTAAGCCAGACGCGCGTTTCGTCTATAAAAGATTCTTCAGTGGCGCTCGAATGAAAACGGTCGGAATCCTAATCAAATACGAAGTTGAGAATTTATGAAAATTATATTCATAGTTAACTAGCATCCAGGAAATCTGTGCCAGTTGTGTTAGGGAGGGAGGAGGAGGGGATGCTAGAACAAAGATACTACATTACCTCTATTAGATTATATCGTTGTTTATCACAGAAGTCTCTGCAAGCTATTTCAGTACTCATGTACCAACCATTGAAAGGAGATGCTGTGAATTCTAACCCACCGCAGTCAAATTTCATATTAGAAACAGCTGGAACGCAAAACCATTTCAAACCAAGTTCGTTGAACTTTGGATATCTGTAGGTGAAATTGAACATAAGTATTCTTCGGACATACAAAGATTTTCTTTCGATATGTTGGGAAAACATTTCAAACGCAGAAATAATTAATTAAAACTGATGAATGATAAATATTTGTTAAAACGTCACTTTCAGGTATCACTTGACAAACCGAACTTCAATTAACTACTTGAAAAAAGACTGAAGGTATAAAATCTTTCATTCTCCGAGTTTTGTACCTGTTGTTATATAGGATATCAGTGATTCGTTTATGTAAAATGAATGTTGATTCTTGCGTAAATAATTATCTTCAATGAAATTGTATTGATCTTCATCACCATTGTTCAGTTGAAGAGAAAAGGACACGTGAAATATTTAAAAAAAATAATAACATTAGAATGGGCATATGATATACATCAATAAAAAAGCAACCAAACGACAAGCATAACAAACATACATCTATAAAGCAACATACAGGCATCAACAACAGACAGGTGTACGGTTTGTTAATACATGTTATGTTAGGTTGTTATCGATATTCAGTAATGCATTGTGGTAATTGCTACCTGCTGAAGTAGCAAGAATTGCTTCACAGATTTATTTTTTTTTTTTTTTTTTTTTTTAGTGATATGTTACCAATTACGGAATAAAATTACTTTGGATGTTTTATTGGAACCTGCAATATCAATTCTGAGGGTATTTCAAACCACTCGGGAGCACCTCCATTTGCCTGTACAATTATTGGAAGAACATCGAATCTACCATTTCGTCCTCTCCAGCCCATCTTTGAAACAGTCTGAAATTTGATTTGAAAATCTTAGTTGCATTATACAAAATTCTGCAATAGGGTTAAATATATTATAGTACATAAGACATGTAACAGCTGTCCTCTACCGTATTACCTGTTTTATCTTAACATACAAAATGTTGCAATGTCAATACATGTTGTGTGAAAACTGCTTTCGGTGTTAGAAATATTTCCTAAATCATTGTGTACAACACGCCATATTCTTTCTTTTTTTCCCACCCTGATTTCTACACAAATACATATATATCAGGTTATTGTGATCTTTATTTTACACCTTCCTACATTTATATTGCATATTAATGTATATGTGATAATTTTTACCCTTTTGTATGATAAATGATAATTTTCATATTATTATTATTTACAAAATATCATTCATATCTATGTCCTTTGGATCATAAATGTCAATTTACAATTAGGAGAACCAAATATAAACAAACACATCCAATGTGGCGAATACATCAAATGTCTTATATTTTATTGAAGAAGTTTGTTTATCTGACCTGTCAAAAGTGAATACCTTGACTTTATCGTGATATGCATGATGTTAGAAAAATATGTCGTATGATCGTAAAAATGTTTTGATGCCTAAGCTATCAAACGTAGTAAACGATTTGATTTTTGATTTTTGGTGTTTAAACGCCACTTTTAAGCACCTCTTTTGGGCTATTTCGTGGCGGCCAGTTTTTATTGGTGGAGGAAGCCGGAGTGCCCGGAGAAAACCACCGACCTTCGATAGGAAAACTGACAATCATAGTCAATTAAGATTGGAGTCGAGTGCACCCGCACGAGCGGGGTTCGAACTCACAACCTCAGTGTTGACTGGCTAGTGATTACAGTAGTAACTACTTAGACCACTCGGCCACCGAGGCCCCCGTAGTAAACGAAGATAGATGCCAAATTCTTTCTAGGTCTATACATTTACATATTATAGTTGTTTAACTTTGCACATGTTTTTTTCTCTTAGGTTAATTCTGTGAAGTTGATATAATAAAAATGAAAATCAATATTCTCATATACGGTTAAGCTTAAATTCATTGAAATATGCTTTGATGTATAAAAAGAAAAATATCCCGGTTACCATAAAACTAGTGACAATTTGACAGATATGCCAACCAAAACTTAAAATATATTTTTTTCTACAAATAATAAGGTTATACAACATAATAATAAACGTTAAAGAACATGATGATTGGTTTTCATATAAAGAAATACATATACGATTTGGTTACATGATCTTTGGAAAATATGTATAAAGGTTAAATATACTATTGGTACCTTTTAAAAAGTTTAAACCCGCTGTATTTGTTTGCACCTGTCCTAAGTCAGAAATATGATGTTCAGTAGTTGTCGTTTGTTGATGTGGTTCATAAGTGTTTCTCGTTTCTCCTTTTTTTATATAGATTAGACCGTTGGTTTTCCCGTTTAAATGGTTTTACACTAGTAATTTTTGGGGCCCTTTATAGCTTGCTGTTCGGTGTGAGCCAAGGAATGTACTCGAAGATGTATTTGATGAAATTATAAATAGAAAACAGGAATTTGCTGGGCATTGCCATTAAATCATAAAAGCAAACCGAGCTTTGGAATTATGAAATCAAAGTGGCCGATATACCAAGCGAACTTTCCTAATACAAAATTACATCTCACCAGATTAAAAAAAACCAACTGAGACTAGAGGACAATACACGAATAGTACAGATAGACTGATAGATACAAAAATGACCATGAGCTCAAAGCACGATAGCAGTGCAGAAACTATCCTCCTTCTTATACTCCTGAGGTTACTTTATGTTGCGCATGTATCCGTTTTATTCCCCTATCATCAGGTCTGTTGCTAGTCGTTCGTTTTCTCTTAATTTCGCCACGGGTTTTCAGATCGTATCGCCAAAACTATAAATAGTGACATGTCAGCAAGGACCCTGCTTGTACATTTTATTAGATGCAAACATACGGATGCATAAAAAGAAATTCAATTCAAAGCAACGGACTTTAAATTTTCATTAATTTTGACATCAGAAACTTATTCAGGATTTGTTCTCAATAAATATAAATATAAATAAATATAAAGTTTTGCTAAAATCGATACAATATGTATTTTGTATGGAATATTCCTAAGTGCCGGGCTACAATGCTTAACACAGGGTATCATTTTGAAATGGAAAATCCTATTTGTATTTTGATTTTGATTAAAATCCTAGCAACAGACGTTTCTAAAAATTTACATTAATCATAACAAAATCATGTTTTTGCCACGGATCAATTTGGGATGCATATTATACTAGTGCATCCTGTTTTGATAAAATCTAAACAAAAATGTTTTTTAATTAGTATTTTATTTTAACAAAAATATGCTTTCACGCCAATCTTTTTCCTAAATTTGATTTTTTTTTAAATGACACCAGGGATCAACTTTGAATAGTATAGTATATATTCATATCAATTTAAGGATATAAAAGCACTCAAAGATTGATTTTTTTTCAAAATTTCAGATTTTTACACAAAAAATATTGTTATTCTACTTTTTGCAAAACTGTTGACATCTGGATTCAATTTGATATAATTTACTATGCCTTTATATCAATTTTCTTTGATATAATTGCACAATGATGTATTTCTTTTTTTGGAAATTTTACACCCAAATTATAAAGTTGTTTCTTTAAATTAGTGATATTTGAACAAAAAGTATTTTTTTACCAAAATGTCGAACATTCCTTTCATAGGTATTAAGGCTGTGCATACAACGTTTTTAAATCTGTTACAGCAAACTTCACTTGTCGTACTGTGCTGACGGGCAGACGGACAGACAGAAAGAGTGATTACTCTAGGCCACCCGCTCAGTAGTCAACGGGATCTGATTATTTTTGAGTGTATCCCCGCCTCTATTTATATTTTTAAAGATTGAAATTCTTTAATTTTCGTGTATTTCGATATTGTTATTATTATGTATTCCAAAGTTGCTTTAGTTATTTTTTTCTTATATAATTAAACATTTTATTATATCGGTGTGTTCAAAACAATCGTAATGAACTACTTTCGCAAAGGTAGTACATTTATTTATCTTTGTACTTTAAAGGGAGATTTTATGATAAACTATCGTAGACCACTCAAGATTAAAAGGAAAGTATGCGGATGTTGAAACAACATAACCACTTTCTTTAAAAAACTTGAGATATCATTTAAATTCACTTGATGACCTAAAGATAAACTTTATTTAAAGTACTAAATACGGGACATACAGTTTTATATATAATATTTTTTAGAATCAACATAAATCTGATATGAATTATTTGATTAACCTAACACACATGTCATTTGCACAGTTGACAAATAAACAACCGGATTTTAAAGCATGACTTTTTGTATAGATTACAAAATGTGTAAACTTATTTATTCTATTTTACATTGACATGTGCCAATACACAACTGTAGCAATCAATTCCGCCTTGAATGTCAACTGAAGTTCAAGGTTTTATTTTGTGCTTTTTAAGATTCAAGAAACAACAACTGTGTTGTGTTTTTTTTTCCTTTGAAGAATGTCGAGTGAAAGTTGAGATTTTGTCTAAAGAATAAATATACCACATTCATTTTTAAACTTTTCAAATAAAAAATACTTGTTTTTATTTTATTCCTAATATATTTCCTATCGTTAATTATCCATTTTTAGATGGTGACGTTCCCTTGTCACCATCTTACGATGTTTATATATCTCAACTTGTACGATTTGCTCGTGTATGTAACAATGTTTTGGATTTTAACGAGAGAAATTTATGTATTACTGAAAAATTATTACACCAGGGTTTTCGATATCACAAACTAGTCAAAACATTTACTAAATTTTATCATCGGTATAAGGACATCATTCGTAAATATAGCTCAACATGCAGACTTTTTATATGTTCAGGTATTTCACATCCAATTTTTTATGGAAATATTCTTTATAAAGCACAAAAATGTCAGTATTCACCTCTGAAGCTAACAAAACCTTTAAATAGACTTATTAAGAAGGGATATAGTTACGATACTGTTGTCAGGTCATTAAAGATTGCATATTTTGGCGTTAATATTGATTCACTTATAGGGTCTTTGCATCCGCACTAAACACATTTATTTAAAAACCAGTTGTTGGCATGACACGGGTTATGTTCTTCTCATATATGTTATGATGGTATGATACTAAACCCCTAACGGGAAGGATTGTGCCTGATATTCATATGATGAAGACATAATCTTTCAATCAGTTTAATTGAAGTCTGGAGCTGGCATGTCAGTTAACTGCTAGTAGTCTGTTGTTATTTATGTATTATTGTCATTTTGTTTATTTTCTTTGGTTACATCTTCTGACATCAGACTCGGACTTCTCTTGAACTGAATTTTAATGTGCGTATTGTTATTCGTTTACTTTTCTACATTGGCTAGAGGTATAGGGGGAGGGTTGAGATCTCATAAACATGTTTAACCCCGCCGCATTTTTGCGCCTGTCCCAAGTCAGGAGCCTCTAGCCTTTGTCAGTCTTGTATTATTTTTAATTTTAGTTTCTTGTGTACAATTTGGAGTTTAGTATGGCGTTCATTATCACTGAACTAGTATATATATTTTTGTTTAGGGGCCAGCAGAATTTCTCGCTGCATTGAAGACCTGTTGGTGACCTTCTACTGTTGTCTGTTCTATGGTCGGGTTGTTGTCTCTTTGACTCATTCCCCATTTCCATTCTCAATTTTATTAGATAAAATATTTACAATTTTGTGTAAGTTATTAAATTATATAACCATTATTAAACCGAACTATACTTAAACAAAATAGAAGAACAAAAATGTTTACCTCCGTGAAATCAACATTTATAGGATCCCCTATAACGGTGCCATCAGGCTGTTTGTATCCTGCATAACTAATGAGCTGTTGGTTCCATACCCGGTAGTCATGTTTTTCATCTGTTCTTTGCCTAAACACCGTTATCGCAGACCTAAAACATGTAAATTTAAATTAGATAATATTGAGAAGGAAATATGAGACAATACACTATTCACTAAATCGTAAAATGTTTTCATTATTGTACGAAACTTAACTTCACTTTTTTCAATAAACTTTTAAAACATCATGTTGAAGGCCGTACGGTTGCCTATAATTGACTTACATCAACTTCATTAGAACTCTCGTGGATAGTTGTCTCATTGGCAATCATACCACATCTCCTTATATTTATATAGTAAGGTAGAATAATTATAAAATTAAGAAATGAATATGTATACATCTGATTTTCCGTTTGATGCTTATTTCTAACGTACAATATATTTTCTATAACTACTATCATTTTCAACAAGATGCTGAGAACTCAAGCGTCTGTCTGCCGTTTTTTATGCTCTGTTTTTGAGTTATTGTTTTTCGCATAGACGAGAGTTTTTGTCAATTGCAGTATGTATCATTACCTGATTTTACCGTTGTTAGTTGCGTACTTAATATGCCGACAAATTGCTTCAAACATTCCCTGTCCTGTCCTCACGTTGCGAGCATCAAAGACCTGTTTTCCAGTTAAAAAAAAGTAAATAGAATGATACGAGTTGAAATGTATCAACTATAGATGTTTGTTAATGGGATATTTGTGGTTGAACATATGAAAACGATAAAATCACTAGATGATTAACCTCCAGCAGCAAATAAAATGCATATTAAGGAAAATAAAATCAAAGAATATGTACCATCACTTTTGAATATCTAAACAACTCGTTAAAAATATTTGTTAAATTTCTACATTTGTCTGGGGTTTTTTTATTGACTTTTGAATATATTCTAGAGTGAAAAAGTAAATACCCACCCCCAACAAAATTTATACATTTGGGGGTAAAATTAAAGAGCTATACGAAACCTTCTCTGAAATAATTTTTTTTTTTAATTTTTTTTTTAATTTTTTAATTTTTTTTTTTTTTTTTGCATTGGTACGATGCTTCCACATAATATAAGAATAATAGAATCAACAATTTTTTTCATTATCATAACAAAGGCACGTATTGTGGCGTAATTATGACATCACAACATTGGTAATCTTGTCGTATTCGTTTATGATTTTTAAATGATTTTTAATTTTATGTTTATCTCTTTTTTACGTGTAAACTTGAAAAAGATCACATAAACTGAATTTCAATTGATACAAAACGCATTTTTTATACTTCGGCCTTTGGAACTCACTTGTAGATTAGCCCATTGTATCCTTCCAATACACCTTGGTGCGTTTCTCCATGCTTGTTTTGTCCCAAACTCCAGCTCATCAATAGTCAAATCATATGTCCCTGTTTTATTTACGGACGAAACAACATTGTCCCACCTTTTTCGATGTTCAGATGAATCATTGCTATAACACATAACATGTATTGAATTATATTAAAAAAGTCGAGTGGCTTTAATATTTAAAAGTATAACATACACCACAGGGTACCTGCGTTAGAACTATGCATACGAAAAGCAGGAATTACCACCAATTTGGACAGTATTATACCAGAATCTCCTGCAAAATAGACTTACAAATATCAAAGAAAAATACACTATTCAGATACCCTGACTTAGAAGAGGAGCAACATGTGTTGTATTTTAAATAGGTTTACGTGCGCCAAACTTTCCCATTTGCCTTTCTAGACCATATGTAGATAATGTAAAACACATAATAAAAGCAGGAACACCACTAACGTCAACAAGTAAATAAAGAACAGTACATGAAAAAGAAAGCCAAATTAAAATATTTTAGCTCTTACAGGCATTTATATTTAAATACCGTTTTGCCCTATTTGTTGTGGAAATAGCTTGACAGCAGGAGGCACGATATGAACAAGTATTTGGCCCATGAAGTTTGAAAAAAAAAGTAAAATGCATTAAGCTTTTAATAATTATATTAAGACAACACCGAACAACGCATGGTCCACTTTGTAAAGGCACATATTGTGGTGGGATTAAATCAGTTTTATATGCGCACAAATATCCCCTTTGCCTATCTAGACCATATGTCATTAAACTAAAACACACAATAAGATATAGTCAGGGTGCAGCTTACAAATAGAAATATATAGAAATATGAAAAATTATAAACAAAATGTATCATTTGAATTATATCATTACCGACATAATCTTTTAACCAGTATTTTAAATATAATACATCATGTTAAAAATCTTCTGAATTCTGATAATCTATTGATAATAATGATCAATTAAAGATATATACTGTACTCGATAATCGGCAAAAGTAAAAATATAAAATACGAATGATTAATTTTAATGTATGTTAAGCTGATAAAACGACAAATAATCGATTCCAAAGTCATTAGAAATAATAAATCGTACTTACCTTAATTTTGTTAGTTCATCAACATTAATAGAATATATCTTAAAATTACATTCCTGATAAATTACCTTTTAAGGCTAGTGTAATACTGTTGAAAAAAATCTTTCGCATGTTCCAGTAATTCATCTTTTGAACGATTGGCATTTGGATTTGTAAGTGTGCCATACAGCGACCCTAAGCACTGATGTCCACAAGATATGTTCTAAAATAATAATGCTTAAATTAATCGAAACAAGGTAAATACATCTCTAAGCCTCAAATGAATATGTTGTCTATTAGTAAGTTGGTATATATAATAATATTCAACAACACTTCATTTAATGTAAATTAACAGTTGAAAAATGGAGTATAAAAAGCATATCGATTATATTTTCCCGTTTAAATCACCTGATGTCTTTTTTTTCTCTCTTGTTTTGCTGTCTCATCGAAATTTACCTTTCGTGCATATTAGATAATATTTAAGTATCCAGTCCAAAAATTATGTAATATAATTGACAGTTGTGTCATTGTGTACTCATTAGATATCCATTTCAAAAGAAAAGGTGTAGTAATACAAGTCTCTGACAAAGTTATCAAGGCCAACATCAAGTATCCTACACGTACAGTCGATTGTATTTACAATTATTTGTCGTTTGTTCAATAATATATTAAACACACATGCGGATCACATACAACACGAATGAATGCAGATAAGGCAGGAGGATTTTGATTATTCATTTTCATCTGTTGCTACTCATGCTTTTTTCCGAGGCTTCGCAGCGCAAAAAATATTTTCAATTTTGTACCCTGCATTTTGTATCTCAGTTATTAATTTCCATCCTATCTTATGCAAGGTTAAATATTTTCAGCTGTTATCAAAATCCTCCCCCCCCCCCCCCCTAAATCACCATCAATAACTACAACAAATGGTCATTAACAGAGAGCCAATGTATTTTTTATTATGAAAAATGAAAAAAAATCACTTGAGAAAATTGACGCGCGCGAAGCGCTTTTATTAATTTGCTTATCATCAAGTACCCTTAAATCCTAAAAATTGAAATTCTAAGATGTCTGAATGAATACTCAGAAGCTATACGACAAAATGGTACGTGAAACGAACAACCCAGTCCACCTAAGGTCTCTTTTGCAAAAGTATATAAAATATAAACAGTAATTTAATCAACTAATTACACCTTGAAATGCATGTTTTTTTTAATTTTCTAATTTTAACGCGGATTCCTTTCTGCGAATTATTTATCATGTATAAGTCCACAATTAAATTAGAAATATGTTGCAATTCTAATGAATTTATTGAAAAAAAGAATAACAAATATATATCTGGCATTCTAGTTGCCTATATGGATGATTTTGGTTTACATTTATCGTGAAAGAGGGACGAAAGATACCAGAAGGACAGTCAAACTCATAGATCGAAAACAAACTGACAACGCCATGGCCAAAAAAAAAGACAAACAGACAAATAATAGTACAGATATACACTTTTCAATGGGTAATTTTAATGCGAGAGTATCAATTAATGCAGAACAGGCTTCATGAACTACCTCAAAATACGGGATATTCGGTAAAAAAATAAGTCAAAACAATACTAATAGTTTTTAATTGCCACTGTGTACCTTTTCCCCATATTCAATTTAATTTAAATTAACCAAAAAACATTTTTTTCTCACTATTTTGTATTTTTAATAGATCGATATATATTGCATTGTCATATGCAAATTTGTAATATCACGATTTTTTCTCAGTACCTGATAGTAACGTTATAAATTGTGTAAACTATAATTCATACTTCAATAACAGCCTCTGATGTCCTAAATAACTTCATGTACAGACACAAAATACTAAGGGAAGGACAATGTAGCGTAATACATATCATTAATAAGTGACAAATTATTCCGTATATTCAGACGAAAATTATTTATTAGACATACTAAGTAGTTAAAATGTTAACTGTGAATAACTTTATTCCAAAATTTTAAACAAATGTACAAATTTAAAAGATTTAAAAACACATAAAACAACTTTTGAAAAATTTAACAAAAAGTTGAAGAAACCAACCAAAAATACATTGGTTTCTTTATTTTATTAAAATTAAATGTCGAAAAAGGAACACATCGAAATATTCGCAGTAATTTAACGGTCATTAAAACCCAAAACAATCCTAAAAACCTTATTTTGCGTTATGGATAATCTTATTTTCATCATAAACTAGAAATAAAACACTCCATTTATGTATTTTTTGTACGGAAATACAACCGTCTTTTCGAACATGTTTTTGCTTTGGATTTAAAGAAAGATGTACTCTGAGCCTTATGCATGTTTTAATGACCAAAATTAACTATTCTTCTTTCATTCAGGGGCCTACTGCAATTTTATTAACACGCCTTTATATCTGTGGATGTCTTTCCTACCTCTATGACTTTACTCTGTAGTGTGTCTGTCAACACAGTGTCTTTATCTGAAAAGTTTTTAAGTTTTACGGGAACGGTAGTTACTGGATGCTCCTTCTTTTGTTCTTTATTATTTCTCTCTTTTTCCCTGATTTCTGTTCTTTTATGCGGTACATGGTGTTCATTCAGACCCGTTTTCTCGTACCCATCATGTCTAACTATTCGATTGTTAATTCTAGTGTTTGGCACATGTGCAAATGAAGAAACATGATTCATTGATATTCTATGTTCGTTTTCTGTACTACTGTACAACGGAGCCATACCATGTTGTTTTCTGATGGCATCTAATACTCTCTGATCAAATGTTGCGTATCTATGCGGAGATGATGCTCTTGAAACTGTTAAGCCATTTCTCTGTCTTAAAATTCTTTGGTTTACTTGTGGTAAGTGTACTGGTACGTTTTCTTTTCTGCTTTTTGTTTTGTCCTTGTTTTCGGAATATCTCTCATCCTTCCGACCTTGTTTTGAATAATTTCTTCCACCTGAAAACTCCATTCTTAACCGTTCATTTAAAAAGTAACAAATTTATTTTGTCTTGCTTTTTTATTCATTATTTATCAAGCAAAAAGATATTAAGACATTTTTATTATTTCAATCTATTTATACAGTATGAGCATGTAGGGGGCGTTACCAATGTTGAATTATTGGTGTGTTACCTTGACGTTAAGGTTTGTTCTCTAATAGAAATGCATATACGGGTAAATTCCTGTATATATTTTTAATTTGATATGTAAATTTGTTTTAATCTTCAAGCTTACTAAAGTTATTATAAAAAACACTTAATTTGCTGTCGATTAGACAAATTACGTACAAATTATTAAAACAAAAGGCGTTTCCTACTTTAAAACGGTTTAAATTCCAAGATTGAATGTTGTTTCTGCAGAATAAATTATTTTACTTATTAAAACATTGTCATTTATAAAAAAATAAAAGAATTTAAATAAAACATCGGTGCACAATTTGCTTTGTGTGCGGCATGTTTTCTCGGAACTAACCGTAGTTACTGAAAATTGGACACTTTAATCCAGACAAAGTTCCAATAATCTACCTATATGGAGTGATTCAACTGCAAGTTCAGACTTTAAAGTGATTTATTAAAATCATGTAAGGAAAAAGTTTGAGTTAGCTTTTTAACCTGCATTAACAGTTATACAATTTTGAGATATATGTGTTAGTTTATATTAACGATTTCTTGAACATTTGTTCAACTTTGCAAAATTAACAATACGTTAATGCTGTCTATATCGTTGTTGAATATTATTTTGTCAGTAGTTTTAGCTTAAAACTTAACATGCCAAATGTAAATTTCTATCGTATTTCTTTAAAAATACAAACATTATATTTCATGTTTTTATTTAAAAAGCATACGGATCCGAAAAAATAAATATAAAGTAATTTCTAATTTACCTGAGCAATCAATATTCAAATGTTTTATGTTTGAATCAACGATTGACGTTAGTTTCAGATAAATTGCAAGTCCTTTTTTTCATGTACTTCCCGACATAAATTATTTGGCAGTAATCTCAGCCTTTTTGCTGTAAATTTTGGATTGTTATTCATTTAAAACAGATCCAGTAAGTGTAATTTGTATTATTTTATTATTTTTTCTTATGTGAAATATTAAAAAAGCCCTTCGTCTCATAGATCACATGCAAAAACGGTCATATAAAGTATTATCTTTTCTTTTCAAACGTCTTTGTTTGTTTCAACATCGTAAGCTTTTATTAATACTAAACAAAACATTAACCTAAATGATCATTCTGCATTACTGTCAACAGTACACATAATGATAAACCAACCATTATAGGAAAACGAACGTTAAATCAAACATAAGCATTTAGGTTAATGGCTATAAACTTACTATTCAGGGGCATTAATATCACATTTTTATTGATACTTGTGGAGTAGAATTTGCTTCTCTTTGAAAGTTTTTGACTTGATCTATGGTTTCTAGCAATGTGCATGCACTGCTTTGATTTTTGTGTCATGTTTTGCGCACTTTTGTCATTTCATTTTTTGTTTTGTTTTGCTTTGTTCATTGTATTTGATGTCTTCCATTGACACATTGATTGCTCCCTTTTTATCTTCCCAATTAATTTCAAACAATTAATTAAGGTGATACCAAACACCTTGACTTAAAATAATTTGGCTCGTTTAATTTTCATAAAATTTTGACAAAATATTTACTTTCACCCTTTGTCAAAAATACAAAAATTTCAAAAAACTTGAACCACACACGACGGATGCCACATGTGGAGCAGGATCTGCCTACCCTTCTGGAGCACCTGAGATCACCCCCAGTTTTTGGTGGGGTTCGTGTTGCTTAGTATTTAGTTTACTATGTTGTGTCATCTGTACTTTTATATGTCTGTTTGTCTTTTTATTTTTGGCCATGGCGTTGTCAGTTTGTTTTCGATCTGTGAGTTTGACTGTCACTCTGGTATCTTTCGTCCCTCTTATATCGGAAAAATTTCATTGGATATATAGCAGTTTGACAAACACTAATTTAGATCATTGAGTTGCTTATTATTTCCTTAACAATAGAACGTGATTAAAACGTTCAGCTGATTTTTACAGAGTTATCTTCCTGTAGTGTTATGTATCACCTTAATTAATTAAAACAAATTAACTCTGTCATTCAATGCATAAGTTCATAATAACACTTGTATGCAGTAGCTAGCACTTAATCTTTTATTATTATTTAAAGATAACAAAATTAGCCTGAGTATCTAGATTTGTATTTCAATTGTAATAATATCATAAGTGAAGATATTTTCAAAATGTTCATTTAATTCGGAGCTTTCGGTGAGAAGTTCAAAACGATTTAACAAAAATTACAGGTGTAGTGAACTGCAAGGCAGTGGATAGTGTCAGTCACATTTTAGCCGTTTGGTTATTGAATATCATAATCTTTGCAAACTGGTTGGTTTAATCAGTTTAACCACCCTTAATTACCAGAAAGTTATTGTTGTATAGTTTTAAAATCCACAGATATTTCATGCATAACAAATATATTGTCAAAACTTAAATGTAATTTTCCTTTGCTTTTCAAAATATTAGATTTACACATCTATCACATGTTTGAACACTTTTCTTTGATATGTAAAATCTGAAGAAGCTACCTTCCGAACAATAGAGCACACAAAGCAAGACAAAAAAAGGAAAACTACTTTGTATAATTTGAATAAAAGTAAAATCAGGTTTCAGGCCAAGGTTACAAGGCAGATGGCACAAGTTGAGGAGAAAGTGTTCATCCTTCTAAGACACTGTATTTTACCCCATTTCTTTCTGGTAATGGCGTTGTTAAATTTTGTTAGTCTGGTCTATCTTTTGTACCATCTATCATTCTTCTAAATAACACCTTTAGGGACAAAACGTCCACCAGCAGTGGCATAGAGCCGGTCAACGTTAAAATTTACCAAAGATACCAGGCTTTTGATTTGGTATGCCAGACGCGCGTCCCGTCTACATAGACTCGTGTTGTCAAGCAATATGTGTTGTCAGGGTATGCATCTCCCGCTTTAAATGTAGTATACTGTTTTATCTTAAATAAGGAGTGCAATTCTGACCAAAAAAAATCTAGATACACTTATTATTGCATCAAAAGAAAGTAATTTTACAAGGAACACAATTGTTTTAACAGTCGCAATAAAACAAGATTATCAAAAGGGTATGTTTGCCTTTCTCTATTGTACAAAAGGTAACTTTTCCCGCAGGTTCACTTTAAGCCAAATATGGCTTTGAATTTCAACTTTACCATAAAATTTCAAAATGGCCATAAAAGAGGGACGAAAGATACAAGAGGAACAGTCAAACTCATAGATCGAAAACGAACTGACTACGCCATGGCCAAAAATAAAAAGACAAACAGACAAATAATAGTACAGATGACACAACATAGAAAACTAAAGACTAAGCAACACGAACCCCACCAAAAACTGGGGGTGATCTCAGCTGCTCCGGAAGGGTAAGCAGATCCTGCTCCACATGTGGCACCCGTCGTGTTGGTTTGGTTCTTAAATGGATCTATTCAAAAGATTTACTTCTGTTTTGAAAGAAATCTCTTCATAAGAGTACATGTTTGGCTTCAAAATCAGCACATTTTGGATATATTGTGAAAATATGATGATTTTGTGCATTTTTCGGACCTATAAGCTTGAGGAAACCCTTGGCCGCAACTTAGGATCTAAAATGTTCTGTAACCAAGAGTTGCCAATGATGATATTGAACCCCTAGACACACAGACATTCTGGTTAATGGGTGGAGGCCAAAGTAAATTATGCTATAAACTGTTAAGCATTATTGAAAATTTGACCAAAACTTGAGTTGTAACGCCCGTTTTGGTCAAATTTTCAATAATGCTTAACAGTTTTTATAACTATTAATATAACTAGATTTATATAACTATTAATACAAAATAACTTCGTCATTTTTAATATGATGTGCCAAAATGAAGTTATTTTGTATCATAACTATTTCTATGTGAAATTTGTAGTATTATGGCCTGATTAAAAAAACATCAAAATCTTAGGGCCAATTTTAACCCTTCCTGAACTTACTCTTTCGTATCACTTAAATCGCTGGACCCCAACCCCTTCCACACCAAGAGGAAGATTTTGTCATTTTGGGCATCATTTCTACTTTAGATATTTGGTTTATTGTCGGGGTAGTTTTTTACACATATAAGTGCACGTTGAAGATATATTGATTTTCCATGCATTCGTTTGATGTGTTTGAGCTTTTGATTTTGCCATTTAATAAAGGACTTTCCGTTTTGAATTTTCCTTGCAGTTCAGTATTTTCGTTATTTTACTTTTTTCCATACTAGTTTCATCATAATGTTGTGTGTCCATTGTTTAACACTATCAATTTTTATGCAGTATCAAAATATTATGAAAAGTTTCCTGTTCTACAACAATAATTAAGGCATGCACAGAATACTTTATCACTGAAAAGTTAGTTTTTCCCCTAAATCAGTGAATAGTTCCAACAGCAGGAATTTCCGAAAGGATCAGCAAAACTGCTCGCAATTAATTAAGGATATACTTAGGTGAGGTTTAGGAATTTTTGTCAAATGTTCGGACTCCTTGGTTTTTTTTCCTACGATACAGGGTAAAATATTTTGCCCCATAACACCAATTTTTCTTTTCAAACAAGACTTCAATAGCTCATCAAAGGTCATTTACCAAAATTTAAGCAGATTCTTGATTTCTTTTTCTTTTGATTTGCGACAAAAGTCTTTTCCGGCCAATTTTCTAAAATCAAATATCTCGAAAAGGCGCTCCGTAACCTATCAATATTTTTAGCTTATTGTGTTCCTTAACTAATGCTCTTCTGACTTATAGTATCAATTTTATGTTCTTGATTTTTTTAATTTAAGTACATCCTTAAGTAATCAAAAAGTACTTTACAAGTGTATATGCAGATTAGTCTAAAGTGTACAAAATGTTTTAAAATAGATTTTTAAATTGCTTTCAAAGCATTTGGAAACAAATTATAAAGAACTGGAATATGTATAATAAGTTCAAAGGAAAAAAGTATTAACAAGCAT